TTTCAATCAAGTTCAGCTGGAATCCGTTGAGCAAGTGAATAAAGTCCACAGTACAGAGCAATATTTGCCTACTACTCAGTGCGATTTTTTCGCCACGTATTGTGCCTTGAAAGGTGATTTGAGGAATAAGACGGAAGGCCGCAGGCCTGTTGAGACCTACGCGCCAGTCACTGAAGACGAGGGGCGGGGCCAGCGAATCATCGCTCGGCAGAGGGCGGTGCCTGACGAGACACGGTAGGCGCTACCGCTGAGGCGCCATTCCTGCAAAATGTCGTTGCCTTATCCTTACTATTTGGCGAATCAGGAACAAATCCGATCCTGTATGACAGCTATGGCAACACCAAGCAGGTACGGTACATCAGACTGATTCGTATGGGTTCTTATTTCGGAAGTTTTTTTACTGGAATTTCGCTTTGCAATGGCTGCCACCCCTCTTTCTGGTACCGAGCTTTTAGTGCCCCGCAAAATCGCATAATCAACTGAACATTTACATGGTCGAGTTCGTGACTTACTGTCTTACCTTGCTGTTGAACAGCTCGATTTGGAGAGTGTAAGAGCTCCGAAAAAGGTTTAGGAGCCTTGCAAAGCTGAAATAAGGCCCCTACACTTTCACAATTGTCCTCAAAAATATGATTATCATCGATTTTTGTTGCAGTAGCGGTCTAAACAACAATTTCTCCATCGAAAATCTGTTGTCGGCACGTCTACCGTTTCCACTGCCGCACGTCTCAATGACACCTGACATGTTTCATCCAAGCGCACAATGGTCAATTGCTGCTTATCCTTTTCTTACGTGAGTAGTTTTTCATACCAGTGACGTCATGGCATTATTGCTTTTATTTTTACCCTATTCATCCAACTGTCCCCACCGCTCTTATTTGTTGGTCAAGTTTCGTCAAGCAAAACTTGCTCAAACAAATTTATTTGCAATCCTTTAGCTGAAAAATCCGCCTGACTTTTTTGCTTGTTTTTTTTTGTTTCTCCTCTGAAATAGCTACTCTGATATTCTGTTCATGCGTTGAAATTCGACGATATTTCAAATTTTCTATAGCAGGATTACGGTAGCTATTTCTGCCTGGGTGTATTTAGTGTCGCCAGAGACATCTCGAACTTCTTTTCAGCCTTTCGAATGACATAGATATTCGTCATCGAATGGGGATTACTTTGATGAAGTGTCAATGGGCATAATAATTCATTTTACGTTTGGAAAAAAGTACGAACATTATTGGGTAAAGCTTTGGAAATAATATCAGGGATAACATGAACACTCCCATTCCACTTGTGTTTGCAAATTTTCACCATATCAACCAGGCTTGAGCCTCTAAGGTTCCTTTTGCATCAATAGTTTGCTTGCATAGAGGGAGACCACCCGCTGTTGCCGCTGCGACTACGAGTCAACGTTGGATAAAATAACTGCTCGATTCTCCCCGGTATTTTCCTCTCCTGTCCTCCTTTGAAGCACCTCTGTGGCAGTAACCTCTGAAATATCCCCCACTTTCTTATCTGGAGCTATTTGTACTTCTCTATATCTCTGCTGGCGAAGGCTGGTGTATCATCAAAGGTACTCTTGGCCTCGCGCACTCGTCTATGGACCAAACCCCCCGAACTGGCTCCGGGCCCAGGCCCATCTAACCCTTCTACTGTCAGAAACGGTGAAGTTTTAGAAGGCAGATTATCACCGCATAGGATAAAAAACACTGTACATCGCGGCTCGGCCGACGCAAGTAATCGCACGGATACAGAGCCACGCATCTAGAGTGGAAGCTAGCATGAGCTGCCGCCATCCAGCAAAGAAATTCCATCAACGACGCGGACCTTCATTTTTTTTACTTTTACTCTTGATTATCCGCCAATTCATCGAACCAGGATGCCACAAAAACCGCCATTTCTCTCATTGATGTGAAGAGATGAAGGCAACCTGCGGACTTCGTTGAATGATCTTTCTATTCAAATTTCTGGGAGCCTGTTGATGTTAGTTATTGCACACAGAAATACTTTATGGAGAGTTTGTAAAAACGGCTTGTTTTGTGTTGGATACGATTTCTTGGTCAGGAGCTGTCCATTCTCTGGTCAACTAATAAAAGTTTAGCCCCAAATTAATGCTTATAACTCATGGTAAGGGAAATGGAAGTTCACAAAAAAACGATCGTAGGCTTCGTTGCACTTTCCTACCCTGACCTGTTTTTGATGGACCCCCCCCGCCTTCCCATCATGACTGAATAAAAAGAGAACTTTCTTGCTGGTTATCCCAGAAAGACTTGTGATTATCCTTGTAAGAGCTGCTGGTTAATTCGTTAAAAGTAAGAGGAGTGCAATTGGCGTCACAGAGATTCCTTGATAAAAGGAACCTCGACAAAGTGATAAAGGGGAAAGAAGTTGTTCCCCTCAGGTGACCTTCCATTAACCTTGTAAAGGAAGCAGGACAACAATGAAGAGCAGGTTTCAATTAGGACCTCAAAAGGGAAAACGAATATAAGGCCTTTGTCCTTTACCTTCTATGCTATCATTTCTACCACCGAACCTCTTATTTTTCACAACTCTCCAGTTTCATTGAAGACCAAGTCAGCGTAGTGACGAAACCGCGAGCTCGAGAGAGAGGATGCACCGAGGTGTTTGCTTCTAATCCTTCTCTGTCATACTTACTGTAAGGGTAGATTGCGAGCGAGCAAGCGAGAGAGATGCTCATCGGTGGCATCGCGCCTTCTTACAATGGTCGTTGTTTGCCAATGCGCACAGCAAGGAGGTTGAGATACTCTTCGCACGTGGTGGCCCCCACTAGACTCATTGAGATGATGTGCACTCGATTCGCTCTCCATTGAACAACCTCAGACGGGGGTAAATACTTGGATTACCTGTAATTCTTAGGTGATTCTACTACAGTTCCTACTTGAACACTTGTACTGTAATACACTAAAATGTGTGCCGTAATCAGTTTCTCTGATCGTAACTACTTCTGAGCACTGACAGCCGTGAGGGCACTACAAAGGACACCTTGTATTTCATTGGGATCAGTGCTCCTCCGAATAGGGTTATCCTGTTGAAAATTGGTTCATCATCCTAGAGCTTCCTCCCTCTTAGGATCAGGCAGAATTCATCATCTCAATTACTGATTCCAGCTTTGCGCAGTCCTTCAAATGCTCTCCGATCGTCAGAGCCCCCTTTGTTAGTTATCAGACTCCACAGAAAAATTAATAACTGAAGAACTTTTCTGCTGGCTAGAGCAGCCGAAAGTCATGGTGCAAGTGAGAGTGGAGCTCAAATCGCTCCAAAAATCGGTCGCTGGTACGGTGACTGAGTACCTATTAGGCTACTCTATGTTCTGATGAGGCGGAGTCGGTGTAGTGACAAGTGGCGCGCTTACCACTCGCGCGGTCCTGGGTTTGAATCCGTGGTCGACTGCCGCCCAGGCCAAGCCTTCTACCCTCCGGGGACGGTAAATTGGTACCAGATTCGTCTGGGAGGATAAAACACTGACTTGTACATCGGCTGGCCACCGCAAGTCATTGTATAGGCCACATCGCATTCAATAAGCCACTACGATTCTGAATGGAAGTAGAATGCGTGCCGCATCCCACAAAGGGATTTCAACGGCGAAGACTTTATCATTTATCCTTTAGTTTATCCTTTACACTTCATGTTCTTTACTGTCAACATGGACTAAAACCTGCCTTTCCGCTCGATACCTACCAGTTGCTAAGTGGTACCCTCAAAAGGCTAAATCCTGGTCGAGTTGCACAATGTTCACATGTAAGTCTTGTGACGTACCATTTCAAGGGTGTCTTGTTCCTTCAGACCAGGCTAGGTGAAGTCAACTCTAGATGACGCCGTTGTGAAACTTGTACTCGGCTCTACATCGTTGACTCATGGCGCTTGAGTTAGGTCGGATCGCTCTAACCTATGCCTGGAAAGCGAAACTAGGAAGATGCAAACTAGGACAGAATTGTTAAGGAAAAGTTGTATAACGTCTGGATAATGCTAAGGGAAAGTGTGACTCTGTTGTTATAATCTCAGATATTCAGTAGAAATTATAGCTTAAATTTCAAATTATAATTTCAAATTACTTCCTATATTCTGAATGTTGGGCGGGGATCTGTATCTGACCGACCGGACTGTCTGAGAAGATAAAAACGCCGACTTGTATGTTGACTGATCTAGTAGGGCAGAGGTAGAGGCCATGTCGCATTCGAAATGTCGCTATTATTTTGCCACACTCAGTCTGACACGATTTCCCTCTTCCCGGCTTTGGAGAAGACAATTTGGTCGGAGCGACAGCCGTCTGATGTACATATAAGCTTAGTGTCCTTTCACTAGGAACTGATTATAAACCACCGCGACGACTGGAAGTACATTGCGTGGCGCATCCCGAGTAGTTAATCGACGCTGGAAGCTTCTCTTGCGCTTGAGAGCTCTCATAGATGAATTGACCATGCTTCTTAGGAACTTTGAAATGTGTTCGGTGACTCTTTGGTGTTAAAGGGGGGGGGGGGGAGGGGAGGGGGAAGCTTAAGGATTCCAAGAAGCACTGAGTGCCTCGTTGGGTTCCCAAAATTCTTCCATGCGCAGATGACTTCTGGGGGAAGGGGGAGAGGGGTCATTAAAAAGGTCTCTGTGCAGAACTGTGATTACCGAATCAAATCACCGCCATTTCGATTAATTAACCCACTCCAGAGTTCCTCTCTCCTTTTAAGCCCAGACAAGGGTCCACATCCCATTTGGAAATTCTAGTGTTGCATGGGGATCCCATCAAATCTCTCCCTCTGAGGTTATCAGTGCCTTCTGCCCTACCCTGGAAGCAGTCATTTTTGAAAATTTGCGACAGAAAAAAATTCATCCAATTACTTGCTGAACTCGTCGAGAACGGTGTGCGCCGGTAATTATCGATTGACAGTGGAAAACCTTCACACCCGATGTTACGCTCTCTGAGTGGAACCACACAAGAGAATTCACACGCAAGAAAGTTACTGTACTTTTTAGATCATGGACTCGTGCCAACACCAATCATGACGTCATTTCTGCCATCGTTTCACTTCAGTGGCAAACGAAAGCGTCGACATCGCACGATTTTCTCCGAGGAACAGCTACAGGTAACGAGCACAGATACGTCTACAGTCTCCTGGTAAAGCTTTTCTGTAATTTTCATTTTTTTATTTTTAATTTTCAATTTTCAAGGTTCTGGAGGCTACCTTCACAGAAACACACTATCCCGATGTGTCGTTACGTGAGAAACTTGCTATACAATGTGATCTGAAAGAAGAACGGGTAGAGGTGAGGTTTCTTCAACAGTTCGAACCCACTTCTCCAACCCTTTAGCTTGGGGTTTACTTTTTCTATGGCGGATTTCCCCGCTAAAAATACAACCTCCTTTTTAAGTGTCCCCTGGCTCGGTGGCATTTTTATTGACATAAACTCTCTTATGGAACAGGACTGATGGACATAGTTTTTTTGGAAAAAGGAAAAAAAATCCCCGGCCGGTTCCTAGAATGTTGTCGAAGATATCCATTTTCTCTGCTCAGATATCCAAAAAGATCTTGACTCTCAAGAAAAGCAGTGGTCCTTCCAGGTCTGGTTCAAGAACCGGCGCGCCAAGGAGCGCAAGCAGAAACGGGAGACGGGCAAGGAGGGTGCTGTACAGAAGATCACCGCTTCAGATGAAAGCGACTGTGATTTGAGCGACGAAGACGACGCGACGCGAGCGAAGCGGGCGAAAATCGCTGTCGATAGTGACATCAAAACGGCCACAGCGACTACCACTAAACCATCACCGTCGCCACCACCGCCACCTCCACCACCCTCACAATTAATGAAGTCATCACCTGCCTAGTAGTCGTTTCGTATATTGCCATGTCATTCAATATATTGTAATAAAGAGAGTTATAGTTTAGAAATGTGACTTTCTCCGTCAAGGAACCACACTGTGAACCTGCTCGCGCGTTACGCTCTTCATTGCATAAGTAGACGAGCACTGAATCAGGATGATAATCCGATGTGATTAAGTGGCACCAGAGCTCAAATCGCTTTAAAAGCCGGTCTCTAAGACCCTGTCGTCGCCAGCGGGTTGGGTTACGGTAGGCGCGATGGTTTCTGTCGCTGACGACCGCCGCGACTCCACCAGGTGGTTGGTTGGGCTGTGTAACCGATGGATTAGCCATCAAGGCGAAACTAGCTGTCAATTGTTCGCGATTGTTTGCAGGAGAAGTTCCACGATCACTATCGCGCTCAGCTCAGCAGTCGCTCAGAAGCCGTACGACAATCACAAAATACTGCTATTCAAAGCTTTTCGGACCTACCGCTGACGCTTTGCTGGGCTTTGTTCTGATGGTCGATCTGAACCCAGGAAAACTTCCCTGTGGAGGCCTCAACAAGGGATTAGGGGGTAGCCGTAAACAGCTGCAAAAAGCCTAAATCATTAAACAGCCCAGAAAACTCGAAAAAAGGTCAAAGTAGAATGCTCTCCTGTCAGACGCGAATTTCAGTGCTGCCTTCTGTAACTCGTATATGTCACCCAATGGTAAGAGCTACTAGAAGATTTCTGCTGGTCTTGGGCACCGACATAATCCGATGTGACTTACCGCATGCAATCTAGCATTCCTGTGAAGTGTTTCTTCCTGGGAATCTGTCCAATGCTGGCTCGAAATCGACTCGTCAGAGCCAGGATATATTGATTTGATAGCGTAAAAAATCAGTACCAGAAGAGCCTGCGATAACGGCGTGGACCTCCAAGGGAATTTTCTCGTCAGGAAACATCACATAGTTGGGGATTCTTTGAAGATCCGCGTCGCCCCGTGCGAGCCCCTCCCCCCCCCCCCCCCTCCGTAGTAATTCTAATCGAGCCAAGCTGTGTCGAACGAGAGGGGGGGGGAGGTTATATGGGCACCTGAAAGGGAAAAAGTCGTGGGGAAACACGTCCCATCCTCCCATCTTACCGACCACTTTCCTGGATCTTCCCCAAATCCTTACTAGTTTTTCCGAAATTTCCCAAAAATTCCCGTACTTCCAAGAAATTTTGCTGCCGAGCGGGAGGGGGGGGAAGAGGATGGAACAGTGTGAACCAGAAAAAACCGAATCCGCAACCGGGAAAAATCTCCCAACAGTGCAAAGGCGAACAGACCCCCCCTCCCCAACAGCAACCAAATTCGACCCTCTCCCTTGTTGGGGAATCCCAACGATGGTGTGCCCTGTTCCGACTACCTTGCCTTACTCCACGAATAACCATACTGCAAAGCCAAGAGCTGGGTCAACGCGCCATCGAGTAATATAGCACATTTGAAACGGGAGAAATCAGCTCTCAAAAAGAATTCCTCGCTAAACCAATTGCCAACCTATCACTACCACCTCCTGATATGGATTGCGCAACCGTTATGCTCCCTGCGTAATTGAGACCAGGGCACATCGTTGTTGAGGAATCCCCAACAGGAGGTCGTATTTGGCCGCCAGGAGAGGGGGTCGTATTTGGGCTGAGAAAAATTTATTTTGATAGTTGATTTTTCTCGCTTCACGGACGTTGTAAAGGGGAGGGGGTCGTACTTGCTCGTTGTTGGGAGGGGGGGGGTCGTATTTACTTTCTGGCCTTCTGGGAGAGGTGGTTGACTTTTCGTGATTTTCCTGTTTCATGCGTACTATATACCCCCCCCCGCTCGACAGCAAAATTTTTGGGAAAAAAGTAGGGAAGTTTTCGGGAATTCTGGAAAAGGTGAAAAGTTGACAGGAAGTTGGGGAGAATCTGAGAGTTGGCAGGAAGGTCGTATTTTTCTCGCGGCTTTTCCGGTTTCACATGTGTTCTTTATCCCCTCCCCTCGATGAAGAGGAACAGACGGCCGGAGGGGAGGTCGTACCAACCCCACAAAAAACCAAAAAAAGGGGCGGGGGTCGTACGGACTCGACCAAAATCCCCAACCAATAATATGCCCTGATTGAGACTAATGCTGTGTGTCCGAATTGTAGCATACTATCAGTGGCTGCTTTTCGTTCTAACATTCGGTGGTATTGGATTTTCGGTGGAAAAGCAGAGTGCCAGCAGAGAAGCAGCCGCCGTACTGTGATCCGAACGTACTTTGTGAGAAGCACTTCTGTGTTAGGCACTCTAATCAGGTGAAGTAGTTCCCTGGGAATCATTGAATAACACACTTTTTGCTGTCCATAATCTAATTTGTTCATTTATTTTCCTGCACTACGAAATTCCGTTCACTTGAGCCATTTCAATCCACCGTATCTGGTTCTTCTTGTGAACGTTCTTTCCCAAATAATCCTATAA